CTATTCTCCATCTCCTCTCAACTCTTGCCCAAATGGAGAACTGAATAGGAGCCACTTGGGTAACAGCCAAGCTCCCTAACCATATGGCATTGTTCCCATCTGTGAAAGGGCATGGGTCCAGCTGCATAGAATGATGTTGCCTGAGAAGACCAAGAGTCTTCTCTTAATTATCTTAGTGGCAAGAGGCTTTATTCATCTCCTTTGTACTCAAAATTAGCTTTTACTTTTTATCCACACACAACGCCACAGATAGCCCAGATTGAATTCATTATGGGCTATCATGTCCCTTGTCATTTGTTTATAAGAAGGGCTCTGGCCTGGCCTTAGCAACTTTTAGGTGAAGCCATCTTTAAAAAAAGAGTCAAGAGCCACAGAAATAGAGTTCCAAAAATGACAAACATTGCAAGCATTCATTTTATACCCACACAATCTTTATTTTCCAATTTCTGCTGGTTGAAAACAAGAACAGTAAGAGAGCTCAGAAGAGAGTGGATCTTTTGAAATATTTCCAACCATTTATAGTCAAAAGCCAAACATACTCACTCCTACATCCTTATTTCATGCAAACTAGATAATATTAAAAAGACTTGGAAAATGCTTTATAGCTGTATGTAAGCTAAAAACCCTACTTAATTACATACAAATGAATGGGAGATATGAGTAGCAAATATAGGGCCTATGTTCTTCTTTACCATAGAAATCAAAAGGATAAAAGACTAAAGTGTGGATTCAATTAAGAACTTACTGGTGGCTTTTAAGAGGTGGCATTTTCCAGTATATATCTCAGGTAGTCTAAAGAGTGATACCGCAGAGCAAATGAAAGTCTCTCAGGGGAACTATTCTGTCTTGTGGTGACAGTCAAGGCAAGGTGAGAGAAGTAGACTTGTGGGCTAGGTGCAGTGGCTCACGCCTGTAATCCCAGCACTTTGGGAGGCCGAGGTGGGCAGATCACCTGCGGTCAAGAGTTTGAGACCAGCCTGGCCAACATGGTAAAACCCCATCTTTACTAAAAATACCGAAATTAGCTGGGCATGGTGGCAGGAGCCTGTAATCCCAGCTACTCAGGAGGCTGAGGCAGGAGAATCACTTGAACCCGGGAGGCGGAGGTGGCAGTGAACTGAGATGGTGCCATTGCACTCCAGCCTGGAGGACAAGAGCAAGACTTTGCCTCAAATAAACAAAAACAACAGCAACAACAAAAGTAGATTTCTGGTTGCCAGGGTTCGGGTCAGAAATATTGTAAGGTAAGAGGGACCCTCTCACTTGATGAGAGCAAAAGTCTTAGCTTGGTAGGAAAGGAACTATCTAGCTCCTGTCTGAGTGACAGAAACAGGAAGAGTGAGCAATACCCCTCTCTGTGTTGCATTTGGCCTGTTAGGAAACCACAAGATGGGGCATGTGATAAACCCAGTCCGCTCCTGTCTCAGTGTTCTCCTCTGGAATCTTGAACCACACAGGAGTTTTCTCAAATGAGCAAACTGTCTGATTCTGGAAACTGATCACTCACCCAAGTACGAGGTTCCAGATGGCAGGGATCTGGTCTGTTTTGTACACAGATGTATTGTGAGGACCTGGGACGTAGTAGGTGCTCGGTGAATATTTGTTGAATGAACATTCAAATGCACATGCCACAGAGTCCAATAATTTGAGAGCAACCTGAGAAATGCTTGGGACTTGTTTTGCTTTTCACCTAAACAATGATGGCAAAACAAGAAAAAGGAGGAGGAGAAGGAGGAAGAGGTCATTTGTCATCTGCTGAGTTATTTTGTTCATATCCAGTTTGTGTTTGTGGCTTCCTTGCAGTAAAGATGCCACAAAATTGTAAAGGAATAATTGTGTGTTTTTGCGTATGTGTGTGCGTGACTATTCTTATTGATGTACGTATATCAAATCATGTTGCTATATCTACATCTGTGGTTGACTTTAACCTTTTTTCAACCCTGCTGAAATGAAAGACTTTCCTAATTCTCCTGATTTAGTAGTAATTATTTAGAATTATAAGAAGCATGATTAGCTAATAATAGTGTTAATAAGAGAAAGGTAATCTGGTAAGGCCACTCTTCTACTCCAGAAATCTCAGGACATCTAAAATTGGGAGTTGGTGGCCATGTAAACAAATTCAAATTACCTTCCAGCAAAAACCTCAAACTACTTGTTTGAGATGGTTTTGGCTGGAAGACATGAATCCAGATCAAAATCAAAAGCCACAGAAATACTGAAATAGCTGAAACAGAGACAGTCATTACAGGAAGCTCATGAAAGTTCAAAGGAGGTTAAAAAAAGAAAAAGAAAGAAAAGGAAGAGCTGCAGCAAGAAATGCTTGTGGCATTGCCCATCCCTACTGGAAATGTTGATGATATCCTTTGAAGAGGAAGAGGAAGGAGTTCGAGGTGCAAAACAAGCAGCCCAGACAGTGACAAAACAGGAAACAGGAGTGCTGATGAAACTGAACTGTGAATTGGGAAGAGAGCAATGCATTAAAGCCACAGGGCTGTGAAAGACACCCAAAAAGGACAATGTAAAAGTGGCAAGGGACTCAGAATTAACTATGGATTAAAGCATTGACAGATAGATAACGAAGTCTAAATTTTCTTATTGAAATGACCTAGAAACAAATTCAGTCATATTATTATCGTTCTAGGAGTATTATATTGTACTAGAATTGCACTGAATCAAATACTGTTTGAAATAAATGGGCCTTCAGAATTTGGGAGGATTCTGTTGTTAATACATAGAGATATCTCATCATGGTGTTGATTAATAGTAATAGGCAACATTTAATACATTGCCCACAATACTTTATAGGTAATATCATTTAATCCTGACAAATTTTTTGGTTTGTTTTTTTGAGACAGGGTCTCCCTCTATCACCCAGGCTGGAGTGTAGTGACCTGATCATGGCTCACTGCAGCCTTGATTTCCCAGGCTTAAGAGATCCTCCTGCTTCAGCCTCCTGAGTAGCTCGGACTACATGCATGCCCCACCACACCTGGTTAGTTTTTTTTATTTTTAGTAGAGACAGGGTCCCACTATGTTGCCCAGACTGGTTTCTAACTCCTGAGCTCAAGTGATCCTCCCGAAGTGCTGGAATTACAGGTATGAGCCACTGCACCTGGCCAAAAAATCTTAAAAGGTATATGATATTAACACTTTCAATGTATAGATGAAGTCTCTGAGGTTGTATGATTTGTTGAGGGTCAAGTTAAGGGCCAACGTAGAATAATTTATGACAATAACTTCCCACTCTTGATTCCAGAGCCTGGGTTCTCTGTGCCATTTGATCAATACATGACATGACATTCTACTGAGCACACCTCTGGCTCATTTCTATTTCCATTTGCTCTGTTTACCAGAATTGTTCCTATGTCCTTTTGACAACCTTTAAAGAGAGAGATAATGGGCAGCAAAATGCCCAGAATTAAGGAGCGACCCAAGGAAAAAGAAAGAATCTAAGCTAATAAGGCCCCATGTCAAGTAGGTTATTACAGATTGTAGAATTCAAGTCCCTCATTAGAGTGAGTAAATTGTTGACCTCTAATTAAAAGTCTTACTAAAAGAATTTTAGCAGGTTAGTGACAAAATTCTTGCACTAGGTAGAGAATGACCAGTAAGTTATTTTATGTACACTTATTTAATAATATAACAATACTTTTTGAAGATTACTGTATCAAGAGTTTAATGTAACAGCCTTATTATAACTTAGAATACTGATTCAAACATCAGCATAAAATAAGGTATCCCTGAATTTTTCCCAACCAACAAAAACGTCCTTTTATTGTGGCCACAGCACGTGTATCTTTCCCTTCCTTCCCTCCCTCCCTCCTGCCTCCCTCCCTCCCTTCCTTCCTTTCTTTTCTCTCTCTCTTTTTTTTTTTTTTTTTTGGAGTCTTTCTCTGTCACCCAGGCTGGAGTGCAATGGCGCGATCTTGGTTCACTGCAACCTCCACCTCCTGGGTTCAAGCGATTCTCGTGACTCAGCCTCCCAAGTAGCTGGGATTACAGGCGCCCACCACCATGCCCAGCCGTTTTTTTATTTTTAGTAGAGACAGGGTTTCACTATGTTGCCTAGGCTAGTCTTGAACCCCTGACCTCAGGTGATCCATCCACCTCAAAGTGCTGGGATAACAGGTGTGAGAGCCGCCCACGCCTGGCCAGCATGTGTGTCTTTCTAATGTAACTCACAGTCTTGACACAGTAATCTTCAAAAAGACTGTCCATTCTTTTGACATTATTATTACTATTTGATACTATTGTTGTTATTCATATAATAACAATAACTTGGTGTGGTTAAATTGTTTGTCTAACGTCACATAACATAGTAGATACTTCAAATTTCTCCAAAATATTTCGTCCAAAATTCATACTGTTTGCCAGTAAGGTCCAAATTGGATTAAGTTTAAGTTTATGTCACTTTAATGTAGTTGTTTTTAAAGAAATAAAAACTTTTGCATCAGAATTCAGAGCATATGTTTCTCATTTGGCTGCCATTCCGGCTTTGTGGCATGCGGAGTTCACTTCCCCAGTCAGGACAGTTTTGGACGGCTGCTGCTCTTTCATAACCCAGTTGGTTTGTAACGCTCGTTAGGTTAGGGAATGAGCGCCTCAGACACTATTGCTCAGAATTCTTTAAAGTCTTAAGGCAGATTCTGTCTGGGTGCAGTAGCTGACACCGTGATGTGATCTAACACTTTGGGACAGTGGGGTGGGAGGATCACTTGAGCCTAGGAGTTTCAGACCAGCCTGGGAAATATAATGAGACCCTATCTCTAAAAAATAAAAAATAAAAAATTAGCTGGGCATAGTGGTGTGCACCAGTAGTTCCTGGGGGTCGGGGGTCAGGGGCTGAGGCTGAGCCAGGAAGATCTGTTTAGCCCAAGAAGTCAAGTCTGCAGTGAGCCATGATCGCACCAGTGCACTCTATCTAGCCTGGATGATAGAGTGAGACCCTGCTACACAAAAGAGCAAACTCTAAATGAACAGAAAGACCTATATATACTTACACGGGCGAAGGCAACATAGAACACCAAGAGGCTTCCACTCAGAGCACAATCATGTTGCTGGGAATTTGAGGGCAGATGTAGAAAGATACACATGCTGTGGCCACAGTGCAAGGACATTTCTCTGTTGGGAAAAATTCAGGGATGCTTTATTTTATGCTGACATTCAAATAAATATGCTTACTAGTAAATGCTCCTGGGCTAAGGCTGTTACAAGATGGAACCCTGTTAGCTTGGTTCCATACAGGATGGATTTCTAGACTTCTACAATTTTATTTGATTTGGATTAACGGGGCTCGAATGTATTCATGTGAAAAAACAACTGAAAATCATGTTGCTCTTTGTAGGATAAAATGAAATATAAATACTTATATTGTTAAAAATATCCAGTATATAATTTTGTTTTGAATCATATACTATTGTATACTATTATAGAATGATAATATTCTTAAAACCAAAGGAATATGTTAAATGTATGGAGAAAAATGTGTAATTGAGAACGTTCTATCCATTAACATCTTTTTTCCTTAATATTTCGTGTGGAAAAGGTAGCTAGTTGCCTAACCTTAATTCTTATCCCAGCAGAGTATCTCTCAAGACAAAAACTACATTTCCCAGTCTCCCCTGTGGCTAACTGTGGCCGCGTGACTAATTTCTGTCAAAGATATGAAAGCATAATTCCTAGATGAAATGTCTAGAAGGGCGACTTAACAGAATTTTACTCAGCTGGGGGTGATACTTTCTGCATTTCCTTCTTATTTTGGCCTGCAATGCAGGTGTGATAACTGGAGCTTCAGCAGCCCAGAAATGACCTTAATAATAAAAGCCATGTGTTAAGATAATAGGGAAAAGAGCCTGGGGGTCCCAGATGATATTATGGAGTGGCTATAGCTAAATAGTTTCTCTTCCAACTCCTTTTATCTGAGAAAAGAAACCCCCAAATTCCAGCTTGCTTTAGGCTTTGGTAGTTTACTTTTTTTTTTTTTTTAAATGTGCGACAAAACCTAATCCTGATATATTAGCAATAAAATCCTCGACTCCCAGTCCTAGCATTGAATTTCAGAACCCAAACACCTAAAACTACTGATAATCAGTATAAGAGTATAGTTTGAGAACCACGGGTTTGGTTCTTATCTGTGGATTTTTACTGAAAAAATTATAAAAATAATTATTGAAACTAACCTTTATTTTTATCTTTGTAAGTCTCGCTTTCACTGAAAAAAGAAAAGAATAGCTAAATGGCATTGGATCTCATTAGCATTTTCTTTCTCTGGCTCTGTCTGTCTCTCTTTATGTCTCTGTCTCTCTCTCTCTCTGTCTCTCTCTTTCTCTGTCTCTCTCTGTCTCTGTCTCTCTCTCTCTCTCTGCCTCTCTCCTCAGGTAATATTCAGCAATGATATAAGTTTCATCCTGGTCAAAGTATTTATTTTTTTGCGTATGTATATAACACTTTACGTTCATTAAGTATACCCACACAATTATCTCTTATGATTCTCATAATAGATCCATGAAGTAGACAAGACAAACAAATTTCCATTTCTACCAAAGTGGAAACTAGGTTTTCATCCTCATTACATCAATTTGAGGCAGATGGGACTATTATCTCTAACATACATAAAGCAGAATCATGAAATGATCACATCATTTGACCCAGTGCCTTGAATACAAGTTGGCATTCAATAAATACTTACTGGATGCCTGGATAAGTGCCTGGGTAAGTGAGAAAAATGATGCAGGGAAGCTAAAGGAGGTATCAGAGTCACAACATTGGAATTAAAATGAGGGGGTTTTCACTTCTATTCTATTTCTTTTTCCATTAATTACACCATGTTGCCTCTCCCTAGAAATTCATTCTTCAATTTGCTGAGTTGTCCATTTGAGTGTACTGTGGGTGGAAGGCAGTTTTCAGATGGTCATCAATGATGAACTTCAGCTGATGCCCCAGCACAACATTGTACACACCACAAAAGAGTTTGCTTCCACTGGCAGCTCTCCCAATCCTCACATATTAATGCTCTGCCAACAGCTATTGTCTTTGACAAGTGACTGTGCTGGCAACATAGCATTTCCTTAAACAAAGCCCTTCACATGGATAGCCAGCAAGGAGTCCCATTTCTAGCTTTGCCTGACACTCTCACACAGCTAGAGTATTTGTTTTACTCGGGAAAATGTTCCAGGAGGCTCTGTGCTTGTGGTAATTGTTGTGGTTTAACAACAGTTTAAAGATTTGAACTAGGAAACATAACAGCCCCAGTGGATCCTAACATGTAGAACATTTTCTTTCTTCTGAAGGAGCTAAGAAATAAACAAGAGCCAGAAAAACCTGAAATTATCACCCTGGGTTATTCTAAGGTGTGTGTCTGAAGTGAATTTACATATTCTTTTTGGCAGACAACTGAGACAAATATTAAAAGATTTCTCCTAAGTCACCTAATTTGTCAAGATATTGGCTATGAAGTCTAGGTTAGGGGTGTTCAAGGCTTCCCCGGGCCACATTGGAAGAAAAATGGTCTTGGGCCACACATAAAATACACTAACACTAATGATAGCTGATGAGCTAAAAAAAAATATATAAATCGCAAAAAAATCTCATAATGTTTAAGAATCTCATAATGTTTAACAAAGTTTACAGATTTGTTTTAGGCCACATTCATAGCTGTCCTGGGCCGCATGCAGTCTGTGGGCCGCGGGTTGGACAAGTTTGGTCTAGGTCCTGTACTATTCAGTTAGTTAGTGAATGGAATTCTAAGCCTGCCATTTGCTGGCTGTGCAAAATTGGAGAAATTAATAATTCTCTCTGAACCTCAGTTTGCTTTTTTTTTTTTTTTTTTAATAGACAGGGTCTTGCTCTGTCACCCAGGCTGGAGTGCTGTGGCACGATCACGGCTCACTGCAGCCTTGACTTCTTAGGCTCAAGTGATCCTCCCAGATCAGCCTGTTGAGTAGCTGAGATAACAGATGTGTGTCACCATGACCAGATAAATTTTTAATTTTTTGTAGAGATAGAGTCTTGCTATGTTGCCTACTCTGGTCTCAAAATCCTGGGCTCAACCCCTCCTCTCACCTTGGCCTCCCAAAGTGCTGAGATTACAGGCGTGAGCCATTTCACCAGGCCCGAATCTCAATTGGTATGTATTCATAACTGGAATAATATTTCTTGACTCAAAAGTTGTCAAAAGTTTAAATGAGATGTAAGGGGTCTAGAAATTTAGAAGTCACTCAATTCCATGTTCATTTCTTTCCTTCCCCCAGTAACTCTATTTCTAGAACACCTTGACATATTCTGTGACCAAGAAGAAGCACTGAGAAATTCAAAATAAGCTTTATCAAAGCATTCTAATTTGCTTTAGTATAGAGAAGTTTAAAAATTCCCATAACATGCATAATTCACAAAAATATCTAAGAGGATCTAGAAGACAATTGGCCTGGTTTACTTCACCTGTGATAATTCTGGTTCTTTGGTGTATTATACTTTTGGCCCGGATTCTGTAATAGGACTCAGAGAATTGAGTGAAAACATCTTGGTGCCAATGACCTTCTCACAATCCTGACCCCAAAGTCCTTACCTATCTATGCCTTTTCATAGCATGCCCATACTTTATTCAGCAAGTGTATTTGAAGCACCAAATATGTGCCAGGCACTATCTAGGTTCTAAGTATACGGCAATGAGCAAAACAGATAAAAGAGCTGTCTGTGAGTAGGGACAGACAATAAACCAAATAAGTATGGTGAGTGATAAGCATGACACAGAAAAATGAGGTAGAAAGAGAGACATGGAGTGTTGGGGGCAGGAGTTTGCAATTAAACATGGTGGTCAGGAAAGTCACATGAGAAGATGAACAAGTAAAGACATAAAGGAGGTAGGGAATGAGCTCTGCAGAAATCTGGAAGAAGAGCAGAAAGCATGGGAAGAACATAGACTCTGAGGCAGGAAAGTGCCTGGCATATTTATAGAACAGTAAGAAGTCCAGTGTGGCTGCAGCGGAGACAAACAAAGGAGAAAATAGCGGGACATGAAGCGAGATGGGTAAGGAGATGGGGAGAGGGCAGATTGTGTATGGTCATTATAAGGACTTTGTCTTTTACTCTAAGTGAAATGGAAGTATTTGGTAGGTTTGAGAAATGACGTGATCTGACCTATGTTTTAAAAGAACTATTTCAACTGCTGGGTTGTGAAATAGACTGAAAAGCAGTGAGATCAGCAAGGAGATGGTTGCAGTAATCCGGTAAGACATGATGCAAATATTTGCTGATGGATGGGATGTGGGGTGTGAGAGACAGAGAGAGACTCCAAGTTTTTTGGCATGAGAAAGAAAAAGGATGGCGTTCGCCTTAACTTACATGCAGAAGACTACAGGAAAAACAGGTTTGGAGGCAGATCAGCAGTCTGCTATTGGACATACAAATTTGAGATGATTATTAGACATCCAAAGAGAGATGTCATGTAGGAAATTAGATATCAAGTCAAGACATAGGGGAGAAATCTGGGTTGGAGATATAAATGTGAGTGTTGTCAACCTATACATGGTATTGAAAGAAAAGAAGACAGATATTTATGTGCATAGAGACAGGCAAGTGGGTAAGACGTGGTGGAGGGAGCTTCTGCAAGGTCTCTACTGCGTGCTCAATTTTCCCAGTGGAAAGAGAAGCCACGTTATCCATAGGGAGTTTCTAGTTAAGGGTCAGGAGGAACAGCACATGCCCAGCTGTAGAGTAAGAGTGATTCCCAGTAATAACTGCCAGACTACTAGCCTTTATCTGGCCTAAGTTTCCCAGACTCTGGAAGTCTAGGGCCCATTCTGTCAGTGTGTCTCTTTGGTCCACCATCCCAGATCTCAGTTTTTCTCACCTGTATCTTTGTGGTAGGGTAAGCATACAACGTGGCTCTTTCCTAAACAGGGACTTTAGTATCCTGGCTCAGAGAACCTGCTCTTCCAAGTCATTTGAATGCAGGGTGCCTGGAAAGGAGAAGAAGGAACCATCGAGTTCAACAACTTCAAACCTCGCTCCATTCTTTTACGTGAACCCTAGGGAAACAATTTTATTTTTGGTAAAAGATTTATATGTGCAGATGTTCGTAAGTGTTATTTATAATAAAAAATAATGAGGAAACACTCTAAACATCCCAAGAAGGGGGGAACGGTTAAATAAATTGTCATACACCTGTAAGATAAAATATTATATAGGCATTAAAAGCAATATTTACAACAATGCTTAATAAGATGGCAAATGACTACAATATAATGTTAGATAAAAAGTGATATAGACGTCAGTTGAATTGTGAGAGATTTTCTAACTCCAGAGAGATTCTTCAAGCAATCACTAGGTCAACAGACACAGATGTTTCCCTTTCTTCCTATGATAAAGATCAGGGATCCAAACTTGTTCGAAAAGTTGAAGAGGCACCATTTGTTCTCATTGGAATGGCAGGCTTTCCAGCAACTGTCCCATATGGATTATACAAATGGAAGAGCAGAGGAAATACTAAAATGTCCCTTCTCCTGATGCACACGTGTTGTAGAAGCAATGGCTGTTGGTATGGGCTGTCCTGTGTATTAGGAATTCTGGGCAAAGCCTAAGCCTTGGAAGGAGGGTGCTGTCTTGATCTGGTGAGAGGACCTTACTTTAGTTAGACATCTCATTATTGCAGTTACATGTTTATGTTGGAAATAAATTATTTGAGTGGGTTCAGATGATAACATGGTATTTTGAATATTGGCTTCCTTTCTTGCAGGCTTGATTTGCCTGGTGACCAAATTACTAGTGACTAGTTCACTAACTAGGTCATTCAGGGGTAATCAAGTTAACATAAAAGAAACATGTCACCTAATTCCACTTGATGGTGTTAAAACTTTAAAACCACCTTCTTAGACTGTAAAGATGAAATTAGGACCAGGTGTGGTGGCTCATTCCTGTAATCCCAGTACTTTGAGAGGCCAAGGCGGATGGATCACTTGAGGCCAGGAGTTTGAGACCAGCCTGGCCAACATAGCAAAACCCCGTCTCTACTAAAAATACACACACACACACACACACACACAATTAGCCGGGTATGGTGGTGTATACCTGTAATCCCAGCTCCTTGGAAGACTGAGCCATGAGAATCACTGGAACCTGGGAGGCAGAGGTTGCAGTTACTATACTCCAGCCTGGGTGATAGAGAGAGACAGAAAAAAAAAAAAACAAGAAAGAGAAAGAAAGAAAGAGGGAAAGAGAGAGAGAGAGAAAGAGAGAAAGAAAGAAAAAAGGAAAAAGAAAAGAAGAAATTAGTTCTAAAGAAGATAGCTGACCATCCCTGAAGTACTCCCAGTTTGCTGAAGAATTTCACATGCTTTGTATGTTATCTAGTAGTCCTATCTGCCTTACTTTTTAATTTAACTTTTCTTCTTCCTGTCTTGTGGACTGGCTGGCTCTTTTAGAACTCTTTCTGAAACATGCATGGAATATATTAACAACTTTTAACGCCTCCTGCAACACTTAAATGTATGTATGCATGTCTAAACCGAATCAAGAAAGCTTACAACAGGGCTTCATAGTAATAGTATTTATTTCAGAATCATAATTGTAAACATGAGAATAACTTATGAACTCCGGTTTAGCTCTTTTATAATTACAGAATTATATTTTAGCTGCTGTTATATTAGATTAATTTTTAAATGTCATCTTGAATTAGAAATACGTATTTTAAGCGCTCATGCTAAGGTAAATGAAGAACACTTTTTAAATTTTCTCCAGAAGAATCATAAACAAGAGACTAAACAAATTACCTATAATGAAAGTGACTAATGAGCAAGCTGGTTTGGCCAGATACTATACACAAACTTTGATAACAGACAAAATGCTTACTTTGTAAGCTTTTTTTTTTTTTTTTTTTTTTTTGAGATGGGATCTTGCTCTGTCACCCAGGCTGTAGAGTGCAGTGGCACGATCACGGCTCACTGAAGCCTTAACCTCCCAGGCTCAAGCAATCCTACCACATCAGCCTCCAGACTCACTGGGACTACAGGTGCACACCACCACACCCAGTTAATTAGAATGCTTTATTACACTTGTGAAATTCTCTTGTCTAACCTGAATTTACATTCTATAGTGGTAACATAGCATATGTGTTGTTATTAAAGTGACTATGTAAAAAAAAATATAAAACTGTATATACAATATGATTCCAATTTTATACTTTCATATGTGCAGAGAACACGGAATGAAAGGAAGTATTCCTAATAATGGTTTGTCGGTGGTAGACTTGGGTTTTTTTCTATGTTATATAGTTCTGTGTTTTCTAAATTTTCAGTCAGAAGCAGATTTTTTCTTATAATTATATTTTTAAATTGTGATGGAGAATTTTCAGCAAATATTAAAATAAGGAACGCCTTGGGAGTGAACTGAGATGGCGCCACTGCACTCCAGCCTGGGTGACAGAGTGAGACTCTGTCTCAAAGAAAAAAAAAAACGAAGACTACAAATTGGGCTCAGTGTACACTGCTCGGGTGATGGAGGCACCAAAATCTCACAAATCACCACAAAAGAACTTACTCATATAACCAAACACCACCTATTCCCCAAAAACCCATGAAAATAAAAAATTTAAAAATATATATACTCATCTTTATCCCAACACAGTCACAAAATTTTTAATTTTTTTTAGTAGAGGAAGGGGCCCATCGAGGCAAGAGTGTCTAAGGCCAATGAACATGCTAACGCAGCCCTGAAAGCCATTCCTGCTGCTGCCTTTGTAACTAATTGCCTTCTTACACCCATGAAACTGGTGACTAGATACTGGCATTTACTGCAGAAAAAGCTCATTGGGCAACAGAGAGCGAGAAAAGCAGGAAGTGATTCTGCCTCATTTTCACCTTCCTGACTCATGCAAGAGCATCTAATCTAGCCATAGATGAGTTCTGGGGCTAGAAATCTAAATGGTTTTTAGATGGATTTTAGTGAAATGGCTTTTGAATGGACGCTGAGTGCCTGTCTCTCACTGCATCCACCACATTTATGTGTGTTAGTAGAACTACTACAGGACCACACACCAGAGGAAGGGAGAGACTACAGGCGCCGATATAAAATCAGTTAAACTTTGCTGAAAATGAAGGAAATGTTGCTTCACTCTCCAAGGAATACTTGTGTTTCTGTGCAGATCAGATCCTGATTCCATCCAAATCAGAACAGACACTATTATCACACTGAGCTAGTATATTTCCCCCTGCCTAATTCAGGTAACAAAAAATCCACAAGTAAGGAGATGGGGACAATTCATATTCAAGTAAATAACAGCTTCCAGCTTCTTTTCCCATTTTTCCTTCCCTCTGATCTCATCTTCTACCACTCTTCCTCTTCCTCACTGTGCTCCAGCAACCCCTAAAACATGCCACATGCACTCCCACCTCAGGACCTTTGCACTTGTTAGTCCAAAGCCATCTCACTCACAGCTATCCTACATAAAAGGGCAACCTCAAGCACCCCCTCTTTCTCACTCTACTTTTCTACACAGGACTTGTCACCTTTGGACACACTGTTTTACATGTTTATTTGCTCACGACATATCCACCCTTCTGGAAAATAAACTCTATGAAGACTGGATCTTTGATTTATTCACTGTTGTGTCCTCAGCACCTGTAGTAGTGTCTGGTGCTTATTAAGTGCTCAAAACATTTGTAAATAAATGAATGAATAATTAGTATTAATACCTTGGCTCTCCTTTTCTCCCAGTTCAATTCATTTTAGCTGCTGTGGTCACCTTCAAAGGTCCTTGAGAGAGACATGTCAATTAGGTCATGCACACTGAACTGAAACTGAGATGAATGACATCATTGGTCATCAAAATTTAGGTTAAACATTTCCTCAGTAGTTACTCAATATTTTCTACATGAGGACAGACCCAAAGAGAAGTACTTGCTTAGGGCCACACAGGGCCAAAGTTTAGGTCTCCTAATTCTGAGTCCAGAGTAGTATTTTCTTTTACTTTCTTTTTTTTTTTTTTGACAGAGTCTTACTCTGTCACCAGGCTGGAGTGCAGTGGTGCAATCTCAGCTCACTGCAACTCCGCCTCCCAGGTTCAAGCGATTCTCCTGCCTCAGCCTCCCAAGAAGCTAGGACTACAGGTGCGTACCACTGTGCCCAGCTAATTTTTGTATTTTTAGTAGAAACGAGGTTTCACTATGTTGGCCAAGATGGTCTCGATCTATTGACCTCGTGATCCACCCGCCTAAGCCTCCCAAAGCACTGGGATTACAGGTGTGAGCCACCACACTCGGCCAGCCAGAGTATTTTCTGCTACATATCATAGCAATGTCTATGCTTTTGGTATTCTTATTACCAGGAATATTTAAGGAAAAAAATGACTAATATGGGCAATCCTCAATTCTATTATTATTATATTATATTTATTTTTAGAGACGAGTTTTCATCATGTTGCCCAGGCTGGTCTCGAATTCCTGAGCTCAAGCGATCTGCCTGCCTCAGCCTCCCAAAGTGCTGGGGTTACAGGTGTGAGTCATCATGCCTAGCCCTCTCTTTTATTTTTGTTGAGCTTAGAAAATGACATGGCTTTCCATCTTCACTTATATATAGCCTAAGTATTGGCATCATGAGTTCTACAACCTCACTTATGAAAGGAATTAGCTTGTACCTGTTCTCTAGTCACTTTCCCCCTAGCACCACCTACCAACTTTGTTTAAATTCCTACAAGTACCAGTAACAAAACAATTTTACCAAATTATTATTATTCACTATGATCCTGTCATCCATTGAGGTATGATATCCAATTAGGCAATGTTAGATCCTGGAAAACCGAAACACTCATCATTTTGGAAATGAAAAGTAATTGCTGGATTCACTAGCCAGAGCACAGACAAAATTCATCTTGTCCTGAGAAATGTCAAAGCTTTGAATTTTTAAGTAAAAGTCTAAAAATATCTGGTGCTGAAACCATTATTGCCAACTAAGTGGTCCTGTATACTGAATTCTTCTGACTCAAAAGAATTCCTATAGCATCCCACCACCCCCAATCCCACACCTCATTCTTGTTTCTGTGAGGCTGGCAGTCAGAAAAGTGAGTCATTAGTTAGGCTTAACTTTTGGAGAGGTATATTATTTGCAGACAGATTGTACCTGAAAATTCTATTCCAAGATTTGAAAGGATTGTAGCAGAATTTTCCTGGGATACGTTTGCAATGACACTTGACAGAGAGAAGAAGGAAGATATGTGCCTAGATAGCTAGAGGGAATCTCAGCAGTGTTAAGGCCACCTGGAGCATCAAACCTCGTTGGGGAAAATTCTGGAAGACCTGCTGGTGAGCAAAAGACCAGCAGTAGGGGCTAATCTATCCTAGGGATGAGAG